CTGTCACATTACATCTGTAACGCCCCAACAAGATCCCCTGTGTTATAGAGAAGGAGTCGCAGTCGAGCACTTGCCTAGCTCTCGCTAGGTCTCAGTAAAATAATTTAGCAGGAAATCAAGAGCGCCAACTGAATACATTAACATGTCATAAGCTGAAAGTTAATAATTTTGATGTAGAGTATCTTACATGTCTTATATAAAATGTCTTGAGGTACAATGTTTTTCATTTGTAAACTAACACAAGCCTATAGTACAACGGTATAACTAAATCTTGATTATGCTAAACTTCTTGAAATGCTTTAAGAAGTTAATATACTCTGATCTTGGTCCTTGATTAGAGAAAAAAACATAAATAATTAATCTAGGTGATCACATAATCAAACAAGTTATCACATTTTATAGAAGGCAAGCACAAAAAGTTGCACATTACATGATAAAGGTACTTAGGCTCATGTTAGGTGACAAATATAGAGAAAACTATGGGTCAAGGAATCACAAAGGTTTTTCACAAGCCCAAAAGCGATTAAAGCACATATAAAATGGATATGAGAGAGGTCAGATCAGAGCCAAATCCAAGCCTATATGGCCAGAGGGATTGGATTTCAAGTCGAACTCTATATACAGAGAGAGAAGGGAACTTTAAAAATAGCAGCATAGGTCTATGCACTTCTCGTCAACCACACTCAACAATAACGATAAATATAGGCGGCATTATCTCAAAATTATACCTGACAAAACTTTCTAGCGGTCTATCCAATACGTCATGGCCCTTTACCGACACTGTCAAAATCGACTCAACTAGCAGGGGGCATGAATCCATGTGTTAAGAACGATATTATGCACGAAGTGGCATGCTTATATATCACGCAGTATAGCATGCAATATATAATCTTAAAACACGTGATCAAGTACATACGGTTAGAAAGAAACGACTGAACAAGGGAGGAACAAGTATCATGAGTCAAGCACAGTAGCAGATCTTGAATAAAATTTTAGTGGGGGCTGAAATACATTGTCAAAAAAATATATTGTTTATGTTATTAGTGCAGTCGGAGTGTTTTCATAGTATGATATATTATAAAACTCTTTTTTATATTAAATTTTTGTGATTATTAATTTTCTCACTACGTGAAAATAAAAATTTTATTCAAGTACTTGGCATTCAATTATACAAATAACTCTTCACTATTTTCATAACAAAAGACATTTCTACAATGATTATACCTCTATAATCATTTAAAAATATGTACAACACATAAAATGACTTTTTTCCCGACACATAAGAAGAGCATAAGGTATGATATAGGAAAAATGTGCTACTTAAATATTATAGATAAGAATAAAATATCTATAAATACATGATTGTATTGTTGAATCCGGCAAGAAAGGTTTTATGATGGTGAAGGTTGATATGGAGAAGGAAGCTTTCTTGAAGCATACGTTATTGATTGAAGGGTTTCCTACCTCCTTTGTACGCAGTATTATGCTATGTGTATCATCGGCTTCTGTGCTAGTGCAATGGAATGGAGAAACAACAGAACACTTTTTTCCGACGAGAGGAGTCCGGCGTGGTGATCCCATTTCTCCAAAGGAGCATTACGGAAGAAAAATGGCGCCCGATCTCTGTTGGTTGAGGATCTGTTAAAGTTCCGTGCACACTTAATGTTTGAGGATGACTTACTACTTTTTTTGTGAAGCGTCCATGGATCAGGCCGAAAAAGTGAAATCCGTATTGAATGAATTTTGCAATCAGCCAGGTTTGAAATGAAGGCGAGCAGCACTAAAACGAATTTTCGACAAATGTTGAAGAAAAATGATCAGGAAAAACATTGCGGCAACCCAAGGATTTACTAAGGTGAATAATCTTGATAAGCATTTGGGTATGCCTCTTATTCATGGAAGAGTGAATAAATCTACACATGTAAATATAGTGGAGAAGGCAGAAGCTAGGCTTTAGGGTTGGACAGCTTCGACATTATCAATGGCTGGCGAAGTTACATTAGCCCTATCGGTGATTAGTGCTCGTCCTTTCTATGCTATGCAAACAGCGTGATTGCCTAATTCAGTTTGTGAGGGGATTGAATTGTTCGGTTTATATGAGGTTCAACACAATGAATATGCCTGTTGAGAATCGGGATTGTATAGTTGGGCTTACATGCTGGCCTGGCGGCCAGTTTTGGCTGGAAGAAACGCAAGAATATTTTCTGAAAAATGTTGGTGGTTTTGCAAAGTTTGTATGATTTAAAACCCCATGTCTTGAATGTTTCTTCAGCTTTAGCTACTGCAAAACGAGTAGGTGGTTTTGGATTGAGGATGGAGTATCGTTTGCTTCATTGGCAAAACCCTCCAACAGGCTGGATAAAATTGAATTCTGGTGGCTCTTTTAATCAAAACACAAGTATGGTATATGGGGGTGGTTTGCTGCGGGATGAACATGGAATATGGTTAGAAGGTCTTGCTTGCTATGAATATTGGTTTTGTACGATAACTAGAGCTGAACTACGGGGCCTGTTCTAATGCCTGCAGATGGCATAGGATTTGAGTTATCAATAAATTATAGCTGATGTGGATAATGCTAGTGTAGTAGGCAAAGGAAACCAGTCCAAATTGTCACAGAGGTTTGATTATGGGGATCAAGGACCTATTAAATCGGAATTGGATGCTGGAATTTTGCCATAATTACCGAGAGACAAACTTTACAGCAGATTAGCTGGCTTCAATGGCGACTTTATATCCGGAAGTTTACATATTTTTGCAGATCCACCATCAGATATTAAACCGTCGGTGTACTTAATTCAGGCACCTGCCCTCATCTATTGAACCCAAAAAATAAAAATAAAAAAAAATAATAATAATGCTCCGCTGCCTATGTATTTTACATCCCACAATTCTGGCAGATTGCTTAGACTCGGTCATCTTCAGCACAAGAAATCAAATACATTAATTTCACAGCAATCGCATCTTCTATTTCGATCTCGGAGGTCTATTGTGCATTTGTTTACTTGCACCCAAATGTATGGCAGAAAATTCAACACTAATATAACCAGATTTTTCCCAGAAACCTTTGTTTTCTTAAAAGAGTATTCATTCTTTATGCAATGGTTAAAATAAAGCGTTTTAAGAAACATTTGTCCCTTTCTGTTTCCTTTCTCGCTTATGGAGCAAATTCGTGTTCATAAAATGGGAGGAGGCTTCAGACTGGTGTTATCTTTATGTACGGTCTTGTGCCTTGAACCTGATCGCCGGATATTATTTAGACCAATTCAGTCGTGCCTATAGTGGGTTCCATGGAAATTGATTTTTCACATTTTGCTAGAGGTTGTACTTTGCATATTCAACTATGTCGTATGTTCAACCGATGTATAATATGTACTCTTTAGTTCTAATATGGTGATATTGACCCTAAGATACAGAATGCCAGTAGCGCTGTTGATGGTGTCAATTTTGGTTTTGGCAGCAGATGCAGTTAGTATTTGTCTCTAACATAATATATAAGTATTTTCATTACTTTCTTTTCGAGGATTCTCTTTGTGAAAGTGTGATCGTAACCCTTGGTGAAACGATCACCAAGCGGCTTGATCCTGAGTTCTGCTCAAAAAACTATTTGCATGGTGCGAAAATTTCCCCTTATTTGAAGAAGCATCCAAAATTTTCAGTGAAGTTCGGGAATTGTCAATGGGAATTCATTTTTCACTCCTTTTCAGTGAACGAAAACAAGGTACAATATCACAAAAAGTACTACAGTTTCTTGGGATGAAGTATAATTTATTCAATAGATATCATCTTTGAACAAAACGCCTCTACCTCCCTTTACATTTTCCTTTTTTTTTGTGGAAAAAATTTCCATTTTACTTCGTTACTGTGTTTTCCTTCTCATTAAGACTGATCATCCAAAAAGTAAAAAAGAAAAAAGACAAAAAAAAAGGAGGGAAAAAAGGAAGATCGAACTGAGGCTTGATTCAGCCAAAACTTTAGTGAGAAAAGACTAAGCAGAAATTGACTGCATCTCCAATCTATCAATGAATACATTTGATCTTCTGTACTATAGAAACCGAGTCCTAAGCCTAAAGAATATGTGAAGTCAAAACTGCATAAAAATTATGAAACAACAGAAAACGAGCAGCCATATATCTTAAGAACAAAATCACGGGTAAATCTCAATCTTCAATCCCTCAGTTCCTTAAGAATTCCTATAAACAATGATTACACAGATAGTACACAACTCCTTTCGACAATGATTAAAAGCCATCTCCTTTGCACGCTTGCTTCGCCAAAACACTATGGACAACCTCTACGTGATATAAACTCCTGCAGAAGAACATATAAAAATCAGAGGGTCTCATTTGCCTGTTTTATACCGTAGAAGAAAAATCCATCTCTATTCAAACCCATGAAGATTGCGGTTATAAAGCAACGACATCTCCTGGTGACAAAAATTGCAGAAGATATGTAAAGAGTAAATTGGTTAATGACATGAATATAAAATTTAGCATAACGTAGAAAAACGGGGACTGTATGAACATAACGCTAACTAATCAGCTTACTCTAATACGTAAGATGCTAGCCAACTAACTATTGGCAAATTTTCTTTAACAACAGGGAATGATTGTATACTCCATAATTCAAATCAAGCTAACCATAAAAAGGTATCTACCCAGTCATAATTCTCAAATGAAATTCCCTAACATCAAAATTAAGTGCAAATTTATTTTGAACAATCAATCACTTTCTGCTTCATTCTTGGCCTAATCCACAAATATTTCAGAAGAAAGAAACTAAAAAGGAAGTGGATGCCTACAAACTTAACCTAAAAAGGTATACGGAGTATATTTTTTTCCCAAGGATACAAGAAAAAACACCAAAGAAGATCGAACATTTTAGAAGTATCTTACTCTATTGAAAGGTGAAGCATTCACTTCATAAGCCTTATCTTCTTGATATCATCCCAGTCAGATATAGACGCTTATCAAAAAATATTGCATGGCCTACTTTACAACCATCTAATTGTCAGTTTCTGTGCCAAATCTTTGCACAAAGAATTCATCAAGCTGCCCCCAGTTTGTTGGACCAGATTCACTTGAACAGCCAGAAGGCAAAGATCGAATGCACCGAAGGATGTGATGAACATCACGTTGCAGCCTGGTATATATACATTCCATGCGAATATACAATCAGTAGAAAATTAAGAAAAGTAGATGGCAAAATACACCACGAAACTTTTACCCAAACTAAGACACATCACTACCTGCTTTTAGCTTGTGGAGTACTGACATCTACACTCGAATATGCCTGGGAAATCTGAGTATGAAATATCACAACCACTTGCCTGAAAAGTGTGATGCATAAATCAATGTAAAGATAATAAGAAAACAACTGACTTTCTTTTACTGCATCAAAAAGTTCCTAAAGAAATCAGAATGTAGTTCCATCTAAAAAAGCAGACTGAATTTATACACCATATATCTCCACTGAAATTCAGACCAACCAACAAATTGGCTGTTCATAACAAGACAGTTCTTAATGCTGTATAGTCTATTAACTTTGGTTCAATGGACAGCCAAAATTGATTAGGTCAGAAACAATTTAAGAGTTAGCCTGAGTACTTTTATGTTAACATAGACATCTATCACTGCTTCCATAATAAAAAAGGAAAAGCCAAAAATACAATCTGAGTATGCAAGTCTCATACCTGAAGATAGTCTCAACCTCAAACTGATGCAGTGTTCGAGATAGGGCACGCTGTAAGACACCAACTTCCTGTGGAGTAAACAAATATGCACACTGAGTCTTCAACCTCAATTATCAGAAGTTTTAAGGAAGAATTAGCTACATGGACTGAAGAACTTAAAAAGCTTTATTAGAAACTCCAGAATATAGACATACGCATAAAACTATGCCTGAAGAGAGCATATATTCTAATGCCAAACAAACAAACAAAAGGATGACCCAAAAGTGGTTAAAGTTAAACTAGACCCTTAAACTATTTTAGAAGACAGCATTTCAACAAAAGTATTCACGATTCTATGTCAGAAAAGTTACTACTGTTCATCTTGTGAAATTTCAATTGACCACTTCGGCTCTTTAATCATATTTGATATTACTGATCTAATTTCGGCACAAAATCTTATCATGCCAAGAGGATAAGAATGCTTCCGATGTTTGAAAGTCTATGAGAAAGAGCAGATCTCCACACTGAGCAAACAGAGATAAGCCGATTCTCAATACGTGATAAATAAACAAATCACATCTCATTGGATTAGCTTATGAAATTGAGATTACCAAGACAAAATAGATCACCAATTAGTAGCGTGCACCACAAGAGGTAATCTAAGAGACTAATTCTTTAAAGTAATTAAACAACTGTCCACAATGAAGATGGCACCGGTGATGAAGATACTAGCAATTTATCAAGGTAATCACAAGCAATATTTAAATTTTAAAAGCACATAATACCATGTAGGGATTGCAGTCACAAATGAACGCTATCTGTGAAAGCTTGGAAAAAGGTACAATTTTTCCTTCCTCCAGGTGTAGATGGCATCGTTTTACAGAGAACCAAGATTACAACTTCAGGATGTATAACAACCAATGCTAGCAGCATAAACCACCCCCCACCCCGGGAAAAAATATGCCCTTTTGTGACTCATACCTTAGTAACAGACAGCGCGAATTGACTTGGCTGTGGATCAGAATCTTCAGGCCCATTCCAACTCTCAACAATTTGTGGCAATCGGCGAAGATTAAACAACAATCTCTCTTTCATAATCTGAACAAGCTTCGAATGTATCTCCTCTTGGTGGACTTTGTAATCCTAAAATGAAAAGAAAAATGCAAAAAACACAATGTCAGCAAACTTATTGGCCTGGAAAAGCGATGCAATGCCAACGTAATTTAAGTAAGCGAAACCTATTTGTCAAAAAGAAATCACCCCGAAAACATCAGCGAATAAAGTAATCAATGCATTAAGTTAAACTCCGTTTCTGTGCATTGCATTCCTGAAGGCAGATACTGAAAAGAGTAATACTAAACTCATTCCCCAAATGCAAGCTATAACATTTTGCAATGCTTCATGATCCTTTCACAAGGAACAGGACAATCTTTCTGCTTCTGTACTAAAACCAATATAACTGAAAAATCATGTTCAAGTAGACAGTATACTTATTGAAAGTTCGATAGCGCAAATTCATCCTGATTGTTAAAGAAGGCAAAATTCTACAATCAGCTGGTGAAATAAGCTGATGGGGTGGCAAACATATCCTCTGAAAGCCTAAACAAAAAATGTACGCACAGAAGTTGATAAGGCCAAGAAGCCATTCAGACATAGAAGAGGTGATTAGGAACTGGAAGCTCCAGTGTAATTGGGGGTTCAATCCAAGGGCTAAACCCATCAGGACATTATCCAAGTAACTTTCGAGACAAAATGTGCACCTAATCTGTAAATTTAATTGCGGAGTTCGTAAATTTGGACTTCTGTTACAATCAATAATACAAATATTTGTAAAGCTCTCATTATTTGTAAAACAAAAAAAAAATAAATCATGTCATTCAAGAGACCACTCAGAAACATCTCGTAGCAAAATCATGGAATGACTGCCCTAAGTCATGAAGTATCATCACAATGCACCAAGAAAAGAACGAAAAATTTTCTTAAGTGAACCTTGATTCTAAAGTCAACCAGCATCAAGGTATTGCATGAAAGAAAAAAGAAGAAGAAGAAGAAGAAGAAGAATTGCCGAATATTTCCATTACATCAGTCCCCGACAAGGGAAACACAAAAATCAAGAAAACAAAAAGGCCATGAAAGATGTCATACCTGTGTTACACGATCAATCTCGGATGACAGAAGAACCTTGCGCGTCTCGGGTACTTTTGAGAAGAGAACTCTCCTGATTTCTGGTTGATTTTGAACAGATGTCAGACTTACTTGAGTATAAACATTCCAACAGTCTGATCAGAACTAAAGCTTTTCAAAATTACTAGAATACAGCATTTTTCATTTACGAAGTGAATGGAAGACACACCAAACACAAACTTCACTGAAATTATTCGGCAAGCAATAGTGTAAAATGCAAAATATTAAAGCAGCTCAAAGTTACCATAGCACAAATAAAGATTACAAGTCATATTACTGTGCAGATGGCTTTATTACCTTTTTTCCTTTTAATTATTCTTTACGCTGTCCAATAATGTTGAAATGACGAATGAAACAGTACAAATATATTAACATAAACAAACATGACCAAACCCTCAAAATGAATCTTAGCATGAATCTAGCAATTGAATGTGAATTAACATATTTGTAATCAGAAAAAAGCAACACCATCCATCCCAAGTCCATCAACCAAGATCGAAAAACAATTGAAGAAACTAATTTCACTTTCAGACATCCCAAAACTTTTGCAATCAGAACTGCGCCAGGGGGTGGGGGTGGTCAGGACTTTTGTTCTCATGAAAGCTCTTATTTTAAATCAACCAAGATCTACGTATAGTGATACAGAGAAACTATTTCATGATCCAAAAATGAAAATATTTATTAATTCACTCTACATAAACACGAAAAGAAATAAATATCACGAAAACCACCTACCAGGTATCATTGCGTGCACAAAACCAATGACCTGACTGGACAAAGCAAGATGCTTAGAAGTTATAGACTTCAAACCAGACACCTGCAGTGTAACCAGAAGTGAAATAAAAACCAAAGTAGCACCAATGTAGTGGCAAATATTTAATAAATTTTGTCTCATGATGCGAATTAAGTCAAATCTCATTAAGAAAGCTACAATAGTTTTGGACCAGAATTATGATGGATGTTTTATTGGACCTCATACGCCATCTATGTAATGATTGATATGGATTCTGATTGAACAAACCTTTTTTCTCGTTTGTTATTTACTACTGGCAGTCTCAATTCAAATTGACCCAAAAAAAAAAAAAATTACATACTAGCATCGAAAAGTGACGTCTAAAAGAATTAGTGCTCAAAACTAGAGAAACATTCCTCCTAAGAGAGCAATTCCAAAAAAGCCAACACTTCAATTTGAATGCATAACATTCACTCTAAATTTGTATTACCCCAATTGCTAACAAAACACTACAAACAGATGACTGAATTTTCAGAGGAAAATAGAAAACCAGATACAGACTGTATCTCCAAATAAAAGAAAGGTATAAGTAGCCAACTGACATCACCAAGATCCCTGACAGAATTGGCCACTGTCCTTTAACCTTACATATTACAAGTGCCATAACTTGAATGTTTACCACTAAAACAAAAGGCACACTCATCGTCTAATCTTAAACAGAATGCAGGAAAACAACAATAGAGAGCCACAAAAGCTTTTTCATGTTCCAGAGACAAAACAACTATGGATAAATGAGACCACTCATCCTAGTTTCAAACTCATGGTACGCGGTACATAATCACATCAATACAAGAAGCTCGGCAAAAAATGTAATAAATATTTCACGAAAAACTGTCTACACACCAGTGAATGACCATGTTATCTCAACTCATTTGATAGCAGAGAAGTTACTAACTTGAATCCAACATTTTGGTTATTGCTTGTTAAAGTTAAAAGATTAAAAAAATAAGCACCTGCATGGCTCCTGCCCCAAGAACAAGCTGAGCAGTCCTTGTATTGAAAAACTTCAAGATTTCCACAATACGACGCCCAATTTCTGATGATTGCATTGACAAACAATTAACCATGTCAATGTATTCTGCTAACATCTTGACCAGACTTAAACCACTGCAAATTCAGAATGACCACATGGATTAGCAAAAGTTGAAAACAAAACTAGAGCAGAATACATGACCACCTAGGCAAACATGCTAAATGCCAAAATCATGGAAAGTAAAATAATCAGAAAATGCATAAGAAAACAAAATCAGAACATGTGATGGCTGCTTGCTAATTAAACTTCGAGACAGCATGGTGCTAGATGACTAAGGCGACATGACGACCCAAAGGGGAAAAAAGGGGAAAAAGTTAACTTGTGACTTACCAATTCACCATGTGATACTGAAGACCTTTGAAAGAAAGAGTTCTACAGGAAGGTTTTCCACGCTCTTTTCGGTTAGCATCATTATTCTGGGCAGTAGAAGGACCATTTTCAGCAGTGTTCTCAGCAGAGTTCCGCTGGCGATTATCTCCACTCAATTGACCAGACTCATTCTGGCCAGCATGTTCAACTAAATTCAAAGATCCAGCATCACCCCCTGGAGAAGCTTCTGTATGCACAGGTGGGTTGCCATTGCTTGCTGGTGAACCAACGGGAGGCTCGTCTATGTGCTCACTTGAAGAAGATTCTGAGGAAAACATTGAATTGAGAATAGTTTGGTATTCATCAGGCACATCCACTTCATTCCAATTTTCTTGCTCAAGAATAGCTCTCATCTTGGCCATCTGTGGTTACATGTAAACCTAATATCAAAACTCTTAAACCAGGAAGGAACAATAGATAATCTTTGAGTAAAGTACTTACTCGAGATTCATGTTGGGTCTCAACAAAAGTTTTAGCCTGTGACTGCAGAATTCCACGGATGCTATAACCCAACCTTCCACCAATCTGCTCATGTTAGCATAGACGAAATCACAGCCACAATTATCTTCAAGGACAGAAAGGAGATAAAATCAAGCAAATATATATTGTTATACCTTTTCTGTTACATTCATGAAGTCCTGAGTCAAGTTATAAACACTCAAAAACTCCTGCAACCTCAGCTTGTCATGGATATTTGCACGGACTCCCAGGAGCTTCGCCCATCTATGATGAGCTGCATCACAAGCAGCAAATACAGCTTCTGTATTCTCCCTTAGAACATCAGTTCTGCAGGAGATGGAAAAGAAATGGTTGATTAGTGTTTCATTTCAAGGGTTGTGATTAATCCAGAACAGGTAATTATATTTTTTTTTTTTTTTGAGAAAAATCCAGAACAGGTAATTATATTCGTTCTCCCTTATTAATCCATACACATCTAGCAAGAAAAAAGAACGCTGACCAGCAAAGAAGCTCACAAAGGATTATGCAATAGAATTTCAACAATATAGAACCTGGCTTTCTACCATGAGCATAACCTCAACAGACAGCAGAGGTTAAGAAACAAAATTGTTGAGTATCATGTTATCTCATCCTGACACAAACCGTACTTAAAAATCCCACCACAGTATAGTCAGTTGAAACCATGAGCAAGAATTAGGCTTCCTAGTCATCACATGACTTAAAGTCTCAAAATAAACGTTAAAAGAACATATAAATGGAATATGATTCAGAGACTCGTCAACACAAGAAACCCAAGTCATGTACAGTTCCAATGTAAACCAAACATCAGCTAACGTCTAAATTATAATCAAGAAATGGCAAAGATCACTGTTCAAGGGACCACACACACATACATACAACCGAAGAAAGAACATCCTTGGTCCATTTAAAGGTGCATTTTAGAAACTTGTCAGAATCAAGAGTAGGAATGAAAAAAAGACAAACCGGAAATTCCCAGATGAATTAGATGGGGTTGAAGCATGATTTTCCCGGCCATCTCCATGAGAAGTGTATGACAAGAGGTTACCGGCACTACCATCAGTCTCTTGCGATGATTCCACTGCTGCTGCACCAACTGCAATAGCAGCAGCAACAGTATTGGCAGCATAATGACCATCACGATTAGACATAATCCACTCAATTGCCTTTTTAACTTCAGAAGCTCGTTCCAAGTGTGCCTGCATTCACTAAAAGAAAGAATCAAGTTACCATTAGAATAAAGAAATTAAAAATACAAATTGCCTTCAATGATTTTGCGATGGTAAAATGAAACTAAAGCATACATAAAGTAACTACTAATCAAATTTTCATAACTCACACTCTGCAGAACCACACCATGCTTTACAATAACAGAAATAACAACCACTTGGTTTATACCACAGCAGGTCAGCTTTAAGGATAATGTGTCAATTCATGCTCAAAAGGTGCATACATTTTCATTTCAAATATAATAAATAAATCATATCCAAAATTGCTTCTTTCCAAAAGTCTCTTCACATCTTCCCCTTCACCATTAAATTTGAATAAAGATTCTATTGCATCTACTCACATTCCAAAATCACCTTAAGCACGATATTCTAATTTACTCATCTACCGGTGTAAGTTTAATTTTAGTCCATCAATTACTGATCCTATCTGATCTAGAGTGCCCACACATCAATATCAACATTCTTGTGATCTTATCTATAGAATTTAAACATTTCATTTTTAAAAAACCAGCAAAGACTTCAGAGTCTCATATGCCAAGAGTATCAGAAACCATCCCGTCACCATAGAGAAAATTAATTTGAGAACACAATCACCTTTAAAATACAAAGCATCTCATATGCCAAGAGTATCAGAAACCATCCCGTCACCATAGAGAAAATTAATTTGAGAACACAATCACCTTTAAAATACAAAGCATGTCCAACAGAACAGGATATACTTTTTTTTTTACTATACTAAATATTTCGAAAATGATGAACATGGCCGCTGTGGGAAAAAGAATTACATTAAGAGCAGATCACCTTGTTACCATATGCTGCAAGAATGAAGGTATAGGAAAAATTATTGAAGCAAAAGATGTATTTAACATTGCATCTTGGCAAATTTTGATCAAAAAATCAGAAAAAAAAATAAAACATTTAAATGGTCAGCTTCCACTTCTAGAGAATAGAAACCTTCGATAAATCTTTCACAAAAAGGAACCAACAAGATGCCACTGCTCAGTGCCCAGTACCCAGTAGAATAACAAGATAAACCTGATTTAACACATGTATACCGAGACAAGGGTTTTAACCTCCAACCAGTAAATACTCTTAATAGGAAAAGATTATCAACATAACAAGCACTTGTTTCTGGCAAGGATATCAGTGAATTGGGCCACAGGGCAAGAAAGCAGACACCAGGAACATATGCAAACAGGAAATATTAAAACAATCTACACTGACAAAGAATTTTGGAAAGATAAAAGGCAATTTATATTACTAACAATCAATTGAACAATAAACCTAGAGCATATGAGCATCATCTAAAACAGAATCAAATATGCTCCACATACCAGGAGATGCATCAATATGAGCCCTCAATAGGAAAAGGGAAAACAAAAGAATCAAAAAAATTCTTCCAAACATAACGCAATAAGCAGATATGCATTACCTGTACAACAACAAAAATAGCACTCAAAAGCTGAAGAAAGCAGTCAGGAGACAGGCTTCTAAGTTTATCTCCAAGTCTGGAACCTCCCCCTAACAGATAATTCAAAAACGAAAAGATATAAACTTCCCTCACGAAAATAAACTGATGGCTAAATTTAAGAAAGGAACTAATAAAGTGAGAACAAAATTCACAGTATTTAATTTTACTAAGGTTTCTCTTTCCACCTATAACATAAAGGAGGACGAAAGCTGTCAAAATGCTTTTGAGACTCACCATCAGTATCAACCACCCTTTCGCCTTGGACAATATCTGAGGCAACAAGAACAGGAAGCCACTCAGAAACTGCCGCCTTGAAAGCAGCTTTCATATCAGCAGTGAGTGTATCACGATACATTCTCAACACAGCAGGGAGTCTTGCCTGAAGAAGAAGTTCTCTTGAGTCTCATGTGTAAACAAAGTTCAACCGTTGAAAAGACATCAAAGAATGATTTAGTAAGGACTCATTTCTCTCAGATATATATTTCAAAACAAGATCAGCAAATCTTCAACTAAATCAGTAAACTATTACTGAAACACTAACAGTAACAATTTTGTTATCACTTTTGTTTTCGATTTGGAAAGGCATGAAATGACTTTTTTGGTTGAGAAGTGTTCTGAAATTAAAAGGATTTCCAAGCCCATTGCTGTTCCACCAACTACACAGCTGGACCACTACCAGCCGCCAGCATCTGGCAACCATTTCGTGGCAGTCTGACAGCATTGTTGGTGACTGAATAGTGTTTTATGTTTGAGAAATTCGTAATGGAAAATGAAATGGGTTGTAAAACATAAAACATGTTGGGCCATGCATTTGAATTAAGTGAGTTCAAAACTTGTTTGCCTCTACACACTGACCACACAGGACTTATATTATTTAGGTTCCAATATGTATTTTATTCAATCTATTTACACCATAAATTTTGTTAAACGCACAACCACGTGTTCAGTTCATAGCATCCCTATTCATTACTAAAGTTCACAAATGCAAAAAAAAAAAAAAAAAAAAACAAATACTAAAAATAAAAAAATAAAAAACATTGTTTTCCTGAATGTCAATATTGTCACCCTCGAAAAAACTATACTGACATAATGCACAAATCCTAATGGTTCTCTTAACTGGATTGAAACCAAAGTTACGCATTATAATGTTCCAAACCATGACATAAAACTTTCAGGAATTCAAAATATACTTGATTCTGGTAAGGCAACCAAACAACTATCGCAGAGAGCGCTACTCGGTTATCTTAATCGTATGACCCATGCAGACATAACAACATTAATAAATATCATTATGAGGTGTACGGACAAACTACTAGATTGATGTATCTGGTATTTGCAAAGTAGTCCACTACCCCCAAAAGGCTGCATAATCAGCAATGCAGATAATTACAAATAGCACTTCACACGTGAGGCTGCATGCAATACATTTTAGACATTTGTGAACTACAAAATGATGGAAGACCAAACTTAGAACATGCAAACTACCACTCAACTACATTAAAGAAATACAACTTCAGAATCTACCTCCCAAACTCTTATCCAAAGTGCAAGAGGTACTCATATGCTATCACATAAAGCATAACTATTAGCCGCACAAGCAAGAGAAAACCTCAACACAGTCTTCGACATACTAAGCAGATAAAAAGAGTAAAAAAAACTCACGGTTCTAAGCAATCCAATAACAACAGGAAGAAGCCGATCTCGCAGATTTGAGGCCTCATCTTCATTCAATTCAACCTGCAAAGTGATTGTAAGGTCAATAACCATCCCGAAACCAGGAAAGGAAAGAAAACTAAAGAAAGAATATTAAACCCAGCCGAGGAAAAGACATAACAAAAAAAGAGTAGGCAAATTTTAAAGCCTTAAGCCCTTAACCTATATAGGTAGTATATGATGGTGTGACAAGTCCAAAAATGCATACTACATCAGCAAAAATGTAGAACAAATGACCTCATATCAGACCATCAACAAGACAAAATAGAACAGACTACATTCTACAGCTAAAGAGACGAATGTATGGGCACTAGGAACACTTTATTTGTTAAAGAAGGGGAGGTCTGCCACTAAACTGCTGTTAAGCCGCTGGGAGAGATCAGTTTTTTCATATCTCAAATATCACGCATTGACAATAATATGTGGAGAACTGCTGCAGACTTGGCGGTGCTCTTTTATTGCAATTCGTCACATGACGTTCAGTAACATCATAAAATGACAAGTTCTCATAGATGTATAAAAAACTGCTACTGAATTGGTGCTCCATTAACCATTACAAAGTTCAACAGTTTCTATCAGTACCTTGCAAGTACTTTCTTACTTCCCAAACTTAACCAAAACTTTTTTACAAGGCAACTGAACTGGCACGATATGAGAACAGTCTAAGTTTAAGACAATGAACAATTTTAAAACCATGATTTCGCCTTCAAACAAACATTCGTCTCAACTTTCGAATGCCCTCAGGAACTGCATTATGCAAAAAGTAATATGAACAAAGGTCTTGTCAACCAAGCTTACCTGTACATCTTGCCCAGTCATAATTGCGCTTGCTCTTGTTATTGATTCAAATGATGCACCCTCACGTCCCTCATGCAAAGACACGCGCAAAAATTCCGCTGAAAGAATACTACAGCAAACCATGCTATTAGAAACAGAGGGATGCTTGAAAAGTGTTCAAAATTCTTGGTACCAGAGAAGAAGCATTAGAAAATAATCATATCTAGAGGTGATAATCCCATTCACATAGTCCAGGCTACACCCAGGTATAACTTCGACAACTATTTAACTACAACTTCATTTAATGTATTTCCATCCCACAGTAAGCACTTAACCCACTATCTGAAAAAAATAAGTAAAAAATTCAGCAAGTAATAAAACATTGCAGGACTAACTTGTTGATAGAGTCCACAGCCGCTACTACGTGATCCCTAAGACTCCGAAAGCAATGCAAACCAGTCAGCTCATCCCCATCCTACAAGAGAGACAGGCAGAACATCAGCAACAAAGTAAAATCAATCAAAAGCAGAAAAGCATCTGTTCTGAGTCATACAACTCTTTTTCTACAAATAAACCTCATTACTATCAAGAGGATGGTCAACTTTAGACAAAGTAAGATTCGCACGTGAATAACTTCAATCTGTCAGCTCTAAACAGTGCTCATATATCACAATTGCCCCATGTTTTGATAATAAAACTAATTCATCTTTGCAGACTAAAATGACCTCGCATCAACAAAAATGAGCTAATAAAAAGAGCATATGAAATGTCATGCATTTTCTATTTCGCATTTTTATCCTTCATCTTACAAATGGGTATGTACAATTAATTTAAAAACTAAAATGTACCTCCATTAACACAAAAATAATGTTAAAGTAGCCTTTACATTTAACATTTGAAAAGATTGTAAGCAAACAGACAATAAACTCCATTGAATATAAACACTAGACCAATATGCCAAAAGCAAAATAAATTCCATAAACGCTCTCTTGGTTTACAGGAATATTGAACCTAAAAGAGGAACATGATTTCTAAATTCTATGATTCTGAGGACAAGATAATATTTCCATTTCGAAGAATCTAAACAGATGCTACTTGACATGCTATTAATCTATTGTTTTCAATGTATGTCATCATCATTGCTTTTTAATCAAGATCATATTATGAAAACTACTCTTTTTTAAGTTTTTGGTCTATTAATCATGTGTAGAAATTACTTTTGACCCTTTTTCTTTTTTCTTTTCTGGACAGCTCCCACAAAGTTTGTAGTATTTTTGTCATTTCATCAATGTAGATGATATCATTTTTTAATCAAACAATGCTTTCATTTTTTCATATTTGCATTCTGTAGATATGTAAGCTTGCATCCTGAAAAGCATAAATGTGATTATGTAGCTAGAGAACAAGTATAATTAATATCTGCACTAAATTGCTTCAATACTTACTAATTTGTATATCCAATATAAAATTTAAGTCAAAATGACTAACAAATGAAGGTACCTTTTCTAAAAAAAAAAAAAAAGAAAGAGAGAGAGAAAGAAAGAAAACAGAATAATGTGCTAACAACTTCAGTAGCGAAACCAAAGCTAAAGGAGATGATACATCATCAGTTCAACTATACTTCTCTGTAACAGTATAAAGTTCAACGAAAAGTAGTTCAAGTTTCAACTTCAAAGTTCAATCCAGTACGAGGATATAAAAAGAGTCCAAAATTAACTATTTCAGAAAGATCTATAATTATTATTTATTTGACCAAACAAGAGAAACAGCAAGGATAAGACATGAAAGAAGACAAGGAATTAAAGTATAAATGATAGAGGAATGAAGGAATGAAACCAAAGGGTCAGTAAAGTAAGGGTACTTGGAAAAGTACTCAAAACAACAACTTCATATCAAGATTCATAGCTTTTTGCAACTTAAAATAAGCTTTTTGTCTCCTTAAACTCTTTCTTTCTGTTTAGTTATGACTAGCACGTAATCACCTTGATAAGGGGATTGGAGGCTGAAAAATTACAAATATAACTCCTAGTTTTGGGACAAGGAAATACTTAAAGGCCTATGGGAAGGAGTACTAACTACTAACTGTACATTCTACAGTGTCAATAACCACATTTAATTTTAAATTACTTTTAAAGCGACCATCAAGCCTTTATGATGCCTCCAATATATATACCCGTAATCTTCCGTTTATCTATAGATTATTGTAAATACCTAAAAGATCCAACTTCTACTGAACCCTTCATCTTCCAGTAAAGTCATCAACACCTTTTTCATTATAAAAGCAGGAATTGTCAAGTATCCCAAAGTAAACGTCTTGTTTGGAAAGAATACAGTAAATACAACTTGAATCATCATAAAACAGTCTTCATTTCAGTAATATGAAGGGCTATGTTTAAACAAATTGCTCTTTTGTTATGAATAAATAAATTCATTTATAAACAGCAAGGAGAACTATAATGAATAGATGGACAAAGTTCAGTATGTGTTTGACATACCAATAACTGCTGCAAATCAAGTGTAACATCTAAAGCTCCAGCACAATCTGCAGAAGCAATAAGCTGTACGAAGGCAAAGAAAATTCAGTCACAATCTAAAAATTACAAATCTCACATTTGCACATCTTCTAGTCAATAGGATATATTCAACATAAAAATAGAAGGAAATAATTCAAAGAAAGAAAAAGGTGCTTCTACAAAACCTATAGGGTAATTTTTCAGAAGAGTTTACCAGATCCACTAATGAGGGGAATAGGTATGTCACTTGATCAAACTACAATGAAACACATCACAGATAAGGTACTACACCTCCAAACTGACAAGAAATAGTCCATCGGGTCACGAGATTGATTCAAAGGGAATTTTATAAAGCACATTTTACAGTTTTCAACATTTTCTGTTGAACTTGCTGTAGGCCCTGTTTCAGATTTTTTTTTTATCTTTTTTATTTATTTATTTTGGTTAAGAGTTTTAAGAATTTGCTAATGCCAAACAAGTGGCTTTTAATTCAGAGACAAGAGTGTACTATCAAGGAAAAGGATTTCTAATTGCAACAATTATTATGACCAAAATGGAGCCCCCCTTTGCCCTTCAGGCCTTTCCCCAGTTCCTCTATCCTCAGCTTCCGACATCCTAAAATCCAGATTCGCAGTTTATCTCGATTCTAAAGTCTATTATCTCAAGAGAAGATAGATGTGTGCGCACATAAATAAGCAAAGGTGCATGGAGCAAATTATGCAATTAAAAACCAAAATAATAGGACTCCACTGACTTTTAATTTCCCTCCATCGGAATTTTGTTCTTGTTACAAACAACCTAAAAGATAGCACTTTGGTAAACTAATTTTCCATCTTTGCTGGTTTCTATGACAAATGTGCATGCATGTATAAGACGGCAGAAAGCATACATTAGGATATCAACACACTTCTTAAGCAGAGCTGATAAACTTTTCATTCAATAGTAAAATGTTTGAGAAGATATTAAGTACGGGTATATAACTGACAAAACTTTTAATGGAAACCATGTCACTCAAAAATTTGCTTGAACAATCTGAGCATATATCCTCTTTAGAAAAGAAATGATATTCAATCGTTCGGACTTCAAAAGTTTTACCATTCAAAGCTTGTTGACACAACTTCAAAGGGAAGTTTCTTCCCTTCTCTTTGATCACCCGCTTTAGTTCTGCTACTATAACATATTGCAACTATACAAAACGCTAATCCTTTTATGGAGAACAAGAATCCTTCTCCGTCATTGGAAATGTAAATAAACACACAATTAATTAGTCAAACGACAATCATTTCAAAAAAAAATGTTCAACCAACCAAAAGTCAGTAATCTCAGGCAGACTCAATATCTATCACGGCAACATGATAAATAGCCGCTTGGATATAAATCCATTACACAATAAACAATCAACACCTCCATTAAAAAAAAAACAAAACAAAAGCGGCACACCCTTGAAATAAAAATGGATGGTGCTTACCAAATTCAGAGTAGAGAGTGCTTGGTTTACATATTGTATGAGCTTCAACTTGTTCCTCAATGCAACCAAATTATCCCTCCGCAAACTCACCTCCTGTACACGCCTCGCGGAACCAATTAAACCTGAGTCCAAAAGCCTAATAGTTTCCTTCAATTCCCTAATCCTATTGCATCCTTCCACAATTTTGGTATTCAAGTCCTCCAACTGCCCTTGAGCTTCATAAAAGGAGCTGGACCTGAGAGAAATCTCCTTCACCAAATGCAACTCCACAGTATCCAAGTACTGCGAGAGCTTTTCCTGCAACACCAAGTTCTCTGCTGTCGTTTTGAATGGACATGCCGCCTTGAAAGTCCCGCCCTCCTCCAATTTGAAGTCTTCCTTAAAGTACAAAGCAGGAACTTCCCTTAAACAAGCCACCAATGCCTCGCCCTGTCCCGCAAACTCACCGTCCTGCCCCTCAAGCGACTCGTGTTGTTGAATGTCATGGAAGCGACTGTAATGCTCGGAGATAGAGCGGATGTAGGGACCGAAATCAGCTTTAGTAACTTCGGATCCAGGTTTGGGAACAGCGGAGGAGTTGGCCAATGGCAACGGCGCGAACTCTGGAGCGGGGATGGACGACGTCGAGGACCACCAGTAGTCGGATTTCCCGGCGTGAGGATTATTGAGAATGGAGGACAAACTTTGGCTGGAGGAACTAGAAATCGATTTCGACAGCGAGGATGAACTCCGCAGCCCCTTGCCATCATGATTCGACGAATTTGAATCTAACCTTCCCAATCGGGAAGGTGGCGAATCCATTGCCTTCAGCCTCTAGTGAAGATCGCGCGAGACAGACGACGGCGCCAGTGGGGCGGCGGTGCTGGTTCCGCCGGAGGGGAGAGAACTGATCTCTGAAAGTCAATTTCGAAGAATTAAGACTGGAGAAATGTAAAAGAAGTTATTCCAGATCTATTTCAGTGTGTGACTACGTGTAGTTTCAGTGATCAATGGCAAGAAGGATGAAATCGACTGTTAAGAGGAGGAGTTGGGAAAGAAAAGCTTTAAATTATAAATGCAAGAAAAGCTTTTTCAAGACCAAATTTCTCACATTTTCTGTAATGTTTGTTTTGCATTATAAGTTGTCTTTAAGAAGTTACACTCTTTTATTTCAGTTACTCTTATTTTTAATTACTAGGAGTATATTTTTACATTCTCAGTATTAGTTATGAGTTTTTTAATACTCCCTCCGTCCCATAATTATTGTCCAGTTTGAATTTTCATTTTTAGTTCAAATTGTACTAAAAGTGAAATCTCAAATCAAACAATAATTATGGAACAGAATGAGTACATTTTTTGTATTTATTTACCACAAAGAAAAATCTATGCACAGATGCCAAAACTTCCAAGTTTGCATCATTCATCAACTGAATTGAACGCTGAAAAATGTAAATTTGCTAATAAGGGTAAACGAGCATCGTAACATAATTGAATGAAAGATTAGCAAAATCGTACAATATTTAATAGTAGCTTTTAATGCAATGCACGTTCTAAACTAATCTCAAAAATTGAGATGAAGAGGATTGCAGAATTTGTCGTGAATTGTCTTTATTTGACCAACTTTAACACTCCCTAAGATCTTCATGATGTAACTCATATCAAACAAGTAATCAAACAAAAGGAGTACTGTATGTACATATTGGTAATATAAGCACAATTTTTCCCCCCACAAATCCAAAAGAAGCTGCCTGATTCTAATTTTTAATTCAACTTCCCAACAGCGTTAATAATAAAAATGAAAAACTGAAGAACTCCATGGCACATCCCTTGATCATCATTTCATCATCATGCAACCACTTGAAATAACATCCTGATGTCGCCTGCTTAAGTGGACAGCCGTAGGTTTGTAGTCTTTCCTTCTATTGCCAACAGGAGGCAATACGAAGCGGTCAGCTGTTCTCATCCAATCCCACAAGCTCTGAAGGGAAAACTTGATACCCTGAGTGGCCAACCATTGTCACACTTCTTCATCAAGTGATCACACTATATGAACATGAATGACAAATTTCAAGCAGAGGATACTAGTCATCAATCTTAGAGGTCATCACACATGAATGGTAAATAATGAAGCATACTTCTGCAGATATTCTCAGATGGACAACATTACTGAAGAATATTTTCACACTAAAGTCACAAGTTTATATATGCCCAGAGAAAGAGAAATCTGTACTTAGGTAAGGGATTACCATCAGCACACTTTTTAGCTCCCTAAGTGCCCAACAACTCCGGCTTCTTTAACCAATACTGTTGGAACCTCTGCCGTGCATATCCCAGATAATCGAAGTCAATCTTGTTCACATGTTCCTGCATATGACAAGCAAGGTTAAAAGGACCTTTCCCCAACTCAAGTATTTTCGCAAAGGGGTATCGACTATGTACTAAATATCAACAATTTAAACTCATGCTTAACACCATATATTAAAAACTAAAATCCCGTAGCTGACCAATCATTTTTTTTGTTTCTGAATTTTTTATTTTGTAGCTTAAAAAGCTAAAGAAATATATTTACTTATAGATAGCACTCAATCTGCTGAATTTCAAGCCACGGGACATGCAATATTTAGGAGCACAAGCTCTTTAACCAGCAGCACTGTACAAAGGAAACATATAAACATGATGTTGGATAACACTAGAGAACCTTAGGCAATATTGAAGTTGGTTCACACTCAACATCGGATGTGACATTTGCAGCAAAACAGTGCATTAAAAAACTTTGTGCAAGCGAAGACAAAGTATTTTCTGGAACACCAAAATTACTGAAGAACAACAAAATGCATGAGAGCCACCTCAGAAAAAATTTAAAGCATATTGCGCTTAAAAGCAAGCAACCATTCGACGACCAGAAATCAAAAAAGCAAACAACCCTGGGACGACCGGAAATTCAACTGGATGAACGATAAACTTTCTTCTACAGTATTTTTAAATGTTTTCAGCACATAACCAATGAAACTTATAATATGCATGAAATTTCCTCCACAAATCAGAACAGAAGAAGCTATTCATCTGCCATTCAATTCAGCCGAATGTCATATATACTTCCTATAAGGTCAAAGTCAAACAAGCTGTTGATTAATGCAAATATTGCAAAGCCTCCTCACAGTGAAGAGATTTAAACATGAATAAATTCCAACTTTCTGATAAAATGAAGCCCTTCTTTTTAACTCCTAAAATATTTTCACCTTTTAAAGATCTCAAAATACTGTGTTGGAATCCCCCCCCCCCAAAAAAAAAAACTGTCCTCGTGAGATCTTTAGACATATCTACTGCCCTTGTTAAGTACTAAACACGTAGCAGTTGACAATGTTAACATTGACGAATCCACTTAATGCTCAAAGTAAAATTATGATTTATTTATATTTTGATCAGATTGCATCAATAAGATCCAGTCAAGTACCGATATAAGTCCCCATAAACCCCAGAAGAGATGGCTTGCAAGTGTATATTTCTCTACTTCTTGAACTAGCTGGTCCAAAACATGGCCACTGTCATCATCATCTGCAACAAGATCTCAAAGATTTAAATGAAAATATAAAAAGGAAAAAATCATTCCTATCTTCATTGCAATTAGACCAAAAAACAAAACAGAGAGAGAGAGAGAGAGAGAGAGAGAGAGAGAATAGAGAACAAACAAACTATCAAATTGAGGCAGTATCTATCATTTTTAGGATGAACTTACTTTCTAATAAAACCAAGCGACAGTGACAAAAGCATGTCAAATTTGCACCCTTCCCATCCCATAAACACATCACAGAAATGTAGAATGGTTAAGAGAGAGAGAGAAGAATATTTATTCCCATACCTGAACAGCCCAAATATACACGGATGAATCGCTTACGCTCCTCTAAACCTGTTCCAAGTTGTCAATATAATGAGAGCTGGATTAGGATGAAAAATCAACTTTACATGATTCATAAAGTGCATGTCAACAGAAAAAGAAACCGAATAGTCAACTTACTTGGATATTTACTGTAATCTAATATATGGGGTGTTTCTGTATGATAGTCGGCAGCCATTTCACAAAAATGATTAGCTATATCAAAGGCCACAGGGTTGTAACTCGCATATTCGTAGTCCTGAGAATGCAGAAAGAATACCATGGAGCATCAATTTGACTATCAGACGAGGTTCAAGACCACGTTGGAAGTAAAGCAAGCAGGTGAGGAAAAGAAGATAGACAGAGAAAAGAAGATAATTGGAGGATAACATATTCAAAAAAATGCATAACGAGGACAAGCATTTTGGATTTATTTTAAGAAGTTAGTAAATCCTACATTAAAATACTAACCCAAATAAAGAAAGAAAGAAAAAAAAAAAACAAATCCCTTGATCTCACAACAGAGAACATTTTATTCAAAAGAACAAGAAACACTACGTAAGAAACTTAACCAGTAACGTTTGTGCATTGATACATTAAATAGGCCAAACATAATGTTGCAATCGCATACAATCTCCTAAGAAGGTGTTCAGAAAGGAAGACTTCCTTTGGATGCTCAGGAATCACATGAAAAGGAGGGGAAAAAAATACTATAAATTAAAGAAAAAAATACGAAATCCAGACACTTACTATAATGGTTATTGATCTGGTCTCTTCATCCATCATTATGTTACCATACTGTAAGTCATTATGACAGAAACCAACACGTTGATGACCACTTGTCATGTTCTTTTCCATGGCAGATATTTCATCTTGCAAGGTATTGAGGGAAAATGCTTCAACTTCTTCTGGTGGGCACATGGTTTTGGCCGCACTGAGCCAATTGCTGGAAAATTTGGAATTAAACTCAGTATACAACATCTCACATGAAAAAGAACCCAGTTACCTGTAGAATTCAAAGTTTCAGCTTCATTTAAGATACAAAGTTTCTCTTTCACGAAACTTGATACTAGATAAGCATACCGCAATCTTTCCCAAAGGAGGACTGTTTTAGGGCCAGGCATATCAAGACCATGAAATTCCCTCACTTTTGCTGCTATAAGAGCAGACACCTCAGGATCACGAAGATCAGATGCAGAGAGAGTCTGCAAAGCCACAACAGAGAAGCAATGTTACGGATGACACTAAAAGCATCGGTAGAGTACTGTTTAGACGATCAATTTAGTACAGGAAGTAATCAGTTTGCAGTTACTTGCCCAATGGAAGGGCTATTTTGTACTCCAAAAAATAAAATACTTGAAAAATGCGGCATAAGCTAAATGCTCTGTCATTCTCTCAGATTTTTACATTCTTTCCCATAGACATGGGATGACAGGAAATGGAGAGATAAAGCTCCATGTAAGCCACGACCTTCAGGATATTTGAAAGCCAAAAAATACTGAAGAGAGAAAGCCATTTAGCCTCCTTGTCCTTGAAACAGGATTCGACTCTCAGAACTCCTGCGTCCCTCACCTCCCACTTCAAAATTCCCACCCTAGTCCCCTATTAATGAATGAAATCTGAAAAAGAGCCATCAGATTTTTAGTGAATAGCGATGACTCCAATCAGCTTCAAGCATTCAATCAGACTGTGGAACTTTTTCTTTTATCATTTTCGGCACAACTTAGATTGTCCTCGATGAACTAAGATCAATGGAGAGGGAGGGGGTGTGAAGGATACTATATGAGCCTTTTCTACTTATCAGATGCATAATATTTTTTCTTTTCTTCTAACCTATAAACATTTAAATCTCTGTAGAAACTGTTAAAAACCATGCTTTGAGCTTATATCAAAATTAAATTACGAAATTAACAATCCCAATTCCGAAGAAAGATAAGGTCTACAGCAATGAAAAGAAAATATCATACTTTCCCATCTGCGATTTCACAAATACTGCTAATATCTTACATTCTCGCTTCAATTAAAATAGCTCCCTCCACTCAACTACTAAGCATAATGGTAAATGAAGCACTTATGTTTCAGTTTCAAATTTAATCGGGAAGTCAATAGAAATCCGTGATACGAAATGCATAACTGGAATAATAGAAAGATAAAGAAAAAAGAGAAAACAATCAGGCCAAAAGAGAGTACCCGAGCACGAATGAACTCTTCAATCCGACCATTGGAAAACCTTCCAAGCAATCTTGGACCTTGGCCCTTCTGGGACATAAACTCAAACGTCTTGATTTCATCACCCCTATCAAAGAAAACATCCACCCCTTTACCATAAATCCTCACCAGCACCTTCCTGGATCGCTCATGAATAGTAGGCCACTTTATCTGATAAACTTCGTTAGTCATTGCCCCTTTCAGTGGGATCACCTGAACGGTATTTGGGTCGACGGTATCATTCCAATCTGATGCTAAAGATCTCAGAATCTTCCGGGCCTCTTCAGGAATGCGATCGTTGTGGTCGTCGCCATCAACGACGGTTTTGTTTCCAGGGTTTTGATCAGAATTCGATTGATTAACAGTAGAACCCATGACTTTGGAGCAGCAAAGGAGGAAATTTTTCGGTATAATGTTGAGTTTGTTGTTTGGGGAATTGGGGAAGGAGAGAATTGAGGAGGAAATTGGGGAAGCGGAGAAAATTGCGAGGAGAGGCGGTTGAGCTTGAAAAGCTGTTGAATTTGGAAGCAGTGGCGACATTACACGTTGGAGCAAGGATTCCACCTCGGCATGCACGTGCTCTCTAGTTGGCTGTATATGTTTTAGGTTGCACCATAGTAATTTTTCTCATATTTTCTCAAAAAAATTTAATAATTTTTTTTTTTTACATTTGCAATGCACTTTCTTAAATATTTGACGACAACTTACCTTAATTAATAAACTATACTCCTTAATATACATTGTTCAATGTTGAAGTAATTAAATCATATGTAGTCATAAGTTTATGAACAATACAATTTGTCAACAATGTGATTTATAATCTGAAGGGAAGTTTTATCAAAGCATTGGAAATTATAAAATTAGTAAAGAGCATTGGTGATTTTTGTTTGAATTTCATTACCACAAAACACAAGCAATAATTTAACCCCAAATGGAATCTACAATAGAACAAGAAAAGAATATACTATCATTTCTTCTAGGGGAATTTTCTTCACAAACAAAGGACTGAAGTGGTGTAAACAGATGATGAAGAAGAAACATTGGTGTTTTGCCCAGCTAATTGCTTGTTTGGAAATTCTTCATCTTATCAACACAATTCTAGATCATGGAATTACTTCTTTCTTTTTTTTCTTCCCTCTCTTTTAAAGAAAAATATCCCGTGAGGCGACTTGAATGTTTTGCTTACATGTGAAAGCCCATTTTGGTAGGAAAATTTTTTCAATATTATTCTTTCTATTCACAACACATGAACTCTAACTCAAAATTTGTGTGATACAAAGCACCTTGTGCACTATGACCAAAATAATTGTTGATTGAAAGAAATTACTTTCATCTTGTTCCATGCTCAAACAAATCTATATCTATCTATAGTATCTATAGTATTATACTAAGAGAGAAATCAGAGAGAGAAAATCAAACTTCATCTCACGTTGACACATAGGACAAAATCTTATATGTCATTATCCTGTAGGTTGACATAAAAAATATTTACAACAATTACACTAATAGTACTTTAAATTTTCAGTTAAACAATTGTTATCAATTCGCAATTAAAGTATATCAATTAATTGTGTGGTAAACTTTCTATTTTATATTTGGTGAAATGAAAAAGAAAACGGAAACTTTTTTAAAAAATCAACATTAATAGTTTTTTTCATTAAGTGTCATATAAAAAAGATAAACATTTATTTGATTTAACATTAAATCTGATTGATTTGAAAAGATTCTCCAATTGGCTTAAATAATGCCATTACATATTGTTTTGATCATAAACAATATTAATAATTTTTTGAAATTCAAAAATAATTTATGCAAAATCATCAGCAATTCTTTAATTGCAAATTCTATGTATCATTTTATAAAACCTCTTCTAAAAAAAACTTAATAAAATTAGAAATAAGTCCTCAAATTATAAAGTAATTAAAAAAAGAAAAACTAAGTCCGTAAACCAAATTTCTGCATTAATTTAAAATTTAAAAGTTTATTGTCATCCGTAAATTATTCCTAACAAATTAAGGAAATGATATTTTTTGAATTCAAAATTAATTGATATGCCATAGTATTTTTTTTTTTTTTGCTTTTAATTATAAATGAAAATCAATCCCTAAAACTACTGTATTTTCCCAACTACACATTCAAAACTAATAAAGATGATTGTATATAACGACCATAAATAACTTAATTGTGATTCCTCTCTATCCGGTTCCATGAATTACGTTATTTTATCAAATTTGAATTTGGAATGTTATTACTTATCACACTTAAATTTAAAAAAGAAATCTCATCTAAACCAAATACATTTGAGCGCTCATATCCCATATACTAGCTATATAAGACTCAATCGGTTATTAGTATTCCACTGTCTGTGTATTCAAATGAAGAAGAATGGTATAATTCTTTTTTGAAATTATTTATACCTTAACATGCTTGGATTATTTTTCTTTTAATTCAGTTATGCAGATGTGTGGAAAAATTAGAAAAACAAGCAAGTTGGAGGTGATGATTACAAGGATGAATAAAGGTTTATGTTTCCATTAACTCAATACTTGCATTTCATATCGTAATATTTTATCTTTATATAATATATATTAATATAAACTTCAAATATATTCTACACCTTTTATATTTATTATGATTTTTTAAAAATGTATATAAATATACCCTGCACATCATGCGGGTTTAACATCGAGTTACACTAGGAGAAAAACCAGATAGAGGAAATCAAACTTCTCCTCCTGTTGACACATAGACAAAATCCTATATGTCATTTTCCTATAATTTGACACAAAAAATATTTACAACAATTACACTAACAGTCATTCAAATTTCCAGTTGTTCGAGTGTTATTAATTCTTAATTAAAGTATATCAATTAATTGTGCATTTAATTATCAAAAAAATACCATAAGTTAGAATTTTATCTTTACTATATATCTCAAGTTCAAATCATCTGTATTAAGTGTCATAAGTTATGTTTTCGTTCTTTTCCATTTTTCCGTTCAAGTACCGTTAAATTTGTGACGGTCAATAGATAAATTGTTGACTTGTCAAAAGGATACTTTAGTCTTTTAAATAAAAATAATTAGAATACCAAAATAATATTTTTATTTTTACATCATTTTTTATGTTTTTTTTGTCCCGATTTTCTTCATTTTTTTGTAGTAAAAATAAAAATAAATGTACTTTAAATTTAATGCTTTCTTTATTGAAATAAAAATTTAATGCTTTCTTCATTTTTCTATTATTATTATTATTATTATTATTATTATTATTATTTCTTTCTTTCTCTTTTTTTTTTACAATTGTATACACAGAAATTCATTCACTTTATTTTAACAAAATTAAATATAAACATATGTCTAAAATCACTCCAATCGCAATAATCATGTGACTAAAATTATTATGTATATAAAAAGTGTGTTTATAAAACTCAACTGGTTTGCAGTCCATGTCTACACCGAAATCTCTTCTTCTTCTTCTTCTTCTTCTTCTTCTTCTTCTCTCTCTCTCTCTCTCTCTCTCTCTCTCTCTCTCTCTCTCTCTCTCTCTCTCTCTCTCTCTCTCTCTCTCTCTCTCTCTCTCTCTCTTTTAGGATTTATATTTTTCTTTTTAATAATAATTATTTTTTTGTGTCAAAATTTTTCGTTTCTAACTTATGCAAGTTGTGGACAAATATTTTTCTACAACAAGGATTTTCGAGTGCATATTCATTGTGAGTTTCTTTCCCAATGTTACTTAATGATTTCAATGTTTAATTTTTTTTAGGGACAGTATGACGAAATATATGATTATCATTTACGAAAAAGAAATTAGAGAGCACAATGATAGGTAGACACATTTAACTGTCAAATATTAATATGAAATCTTTACTTCAATTTTTTTTTAAAAAAATTTATTTTACCTTATGGTGTAATTTATTTCTTTGTAGCATCTTAGATAAATGAATTAGAGAATGCAAGGTAGTTCTGGATATCAGTTGTCAGCGGTATGACCTATTGTGCTGTTGTCTAAGCGTGGTCATATTTTCCAGTTTGACTTATGCGTTTGAAGGTGACTTTGAAGTCTGAATTATCTCATTGAATTCTAATGCTTTGTTCGGGATGGTTCAATACCACTAACAACAAGAGTGGTCAAAGATGTCAAATTGTGAATACAAATTATATTTAATATGTACACCAATATATGGATCCCTTTATTTTCTTCTGTAAATAAATAACGTATAAAAATTACTTTTAGTGTAACATATTTGATTTAGTGTTTTTAAATTATATATCAATTTACTAAAATATAAAATATTTCTTTGATTTTTATTATACTTGATTTTACACATAATTTATCTATCCCCATATGGTATGGGTACCATCTAGTTTATAGAGTGAGCCAAAAACGTTGAGGTTCAGTGGTTGTCTAGTAAATCAGCACATTCGCTGAAAAGAACTAGAGGCACCAAATTTGAAATGTTACTCACACTAAAAACAATATAGATTGCGGTTTAGTCTGCGTAAATAATTGTTTTTTTTCATGGATAAAATGCATAAGTAAAGAAATTTGATTATATGCTAGCTGTTACTCTGACAGTACATAATACAGTATATATCTTTACTCAAAAACAATAATTTAAAAAAGAGAATTAAAAATGAAAAGAAAAAAGAAACCGCAACTCATATGCTGATTGACCAGAATTTGTCACTTACTTTCACCCTCTTATAATCGTTCAAAATACAAATTAATTATGGGATGATGGATACTTATATTTAGATTCTGACCAAAAACTTGCATCCAACACGAATTTTAATTGTAGCTAAATAAGCTACACAACACAGCTCATGTCCTCATTGACCCTATCATAATTGGAACAAAAACTTGCTTCATGATCAGAGCAGAAATGGTTGACCAAATTCAGCATCATGAGGTTTCTCCTCCTGCTTATCAATCCGCTCCTGAACTGTAAACATAATTGGAATTTTCCGAGTTATATACATAACACATGCAACAATGTGTTACTTTTCTCCCAAAATGAATGAATTCAACAGTGAAAATTCATCACCTGTTTTCAAAACACGCTGATTTCATTCAAGATCTTCCCTTTATGCTGAATGTAAATCGCAAAAGCCCAAGAGCAAAGGGCACCACTGATGACGACGAAAACAGCCACACTGAGTTCGAAATCAAGGACTGCAGATTCGATTTCGAACAACCCGAACCATATAACATATGTAAGAGCTGTAGTTAGGGCTGCAACATACATACAGGTCCTCAGGACCGGTACTAAAACTTTGTTAGGGATGAGACTCCCACACAGAATGGACACGATTATCGGCGAACGACAAAACAAAACAAATAGCGTTCAGTACGATCATCTCTTCGTAAATTCGAGGATAGAGTTGAGAGATACACTGGTTTTATCACTTTGGGCGCGTTTGAACCTTCTCCTACGTTCACCAACACAGTACCGCCAGGCGGGTTTACCCCGAATGCGAATGCCATACCGGCTATAAGCGAGGCCACAAGCATTACTGTCTGTTTGCTCTGTTCATACCACTCCTCTCGCTTAGCATCCCAATCAATCACTGCATTGCCTTTCAGCGCTTTAGCTTTCTGGAAAGACTTTAAAGTTTCCAGGTACATTTCGTCGTTCGCATCGACTTTACGCCTTAACAGAAGGTCCAATGCTGTTTCTCCATCCTCATTCTTCACATGCATCTGCACTACTCCTTCCTTGGTAATGTCCAACAGATATTCAATTATCTGCAGAGTTTAACAATAGTTATAATTTTGACCATTATACTGAACCCCCTAGCCTAATTAAAATACTTTAATTCTTTGTTTCAATTCAGTTCAATTGGGCAAAACACATGCATAACAGTCAATTTCCCCCCCGATTGAACTTGAATCAGACTGAAGAACAGAGTTATAAAATAGTACTAAGTTGAAGGAATTTAAGCAGACCTGTTTCTTGTGAGAGTAAGTGGACATATGAAGAATGGTACATCCATCATCATTCTTTGCATTCACAAAACGAGCATCTTTCAGCTTGCTCAGAAGGAGTTTCAACGATCCCAACTGATTGTACTTGACACAGAGATGCAAAATGTTCCCTCCTCCATCCGATTTCTCCAACGCCGCCTGAATCAATTCCGGCCTAATGAAAACTTCCAAAACTCCCAATCTGCCATACATTGCTGCAAGGTGACAAGGGTTCCTACCATCTTCATCACGAGCCAAACACATCTGGTATGATGAATCGTATCTCAGAATGGCTTCGACAAATCGCACATGGCCTAACATTGCTGCTATGTGCAAAGGGTTCTTGTGACCGTAGTGCTTCAACTGCAAATTGGGTCCAGAAGTTTAGGATCTTGTTGAAGCAACTCTGTAAGTGCAGGAACATCATCCTCCATTGCTGCATTGTAAAGCTTTTCTTCCATTTCTTTCTTTCTCAAATGAAAGCAATGTTGATAGTGTAATGCTGTCAATACAGCTGATTTTTAGTAGGAGAACTTATATAATGTAGTCCAAACTAATCCTAGGAGATCAAACATGTATGATCGAAACAATTTGGTACTGATCGTTGATGAAGTAACACGACTACGGACAAATATCACTATTCTAAACCAAAAATTATTGGGATTCTAAACACCAATAGGCAATAACTAATTTATTGTTTCCCTCAAAAAAAAAAAAAACTAATTTATTGTTAGGAATTAATTATGTTAGTTATGACTTTGACTTAAGAATAAATAACGTCAGTAAAGGACAGATCTGATCACTATGGTATGAACTCTTCTTCTGAGCTCGGTGTTTTTTTATTGATGAATAGCGAAATCTACACTCCCGATTGATCAATAGCTAAATCTATAATCCCTCCGGTAGGCATTTTGATTTGTCCGAAATTTCACCTAATATCTTTTTTTGATTGAGAAAAAGTCTTAAAACTACATTTTTATATTCATTGTATCTTCCTAATTATTACGAAATATTTTTAAGATTTTTTTTTTTAATTGAAGAAACATACTTCATACGTTAAACTTAGGACAAATCTAAAAGGCCTTATAATTAGGACGGAGGGAGTATATTCCAACAACCATACTTTTGACTTTTTGTAGAACTTGATTACTAAATTTCAATTTAATTGATACATGCAAAATAAGTACATGTACAAGTTTTGATTACAAAAGTTAATATAGAATCAACTTGGTGTTTAAAAATGCTGATTATTATTAATACTTCCGACTTGCTAGTTTTGACTAAAAATTATTATTCTTTCTCGAGATTGCAATCACAAATGAAGAAGCTATCCTCATTTTGCTTCGTCGTTAGGGTGTCTGCATGTTGATTTCCCACATGAATAATCTAGATGTCATCTCTTATACTCCAGCATTTTGTTTTGTTTTTTTTTTTTTTTTTTTTTTTTGGGGGAAACCGGACTGGTGTTCCATTGTTTGAATTAATAAAATTGAAAAATAAAACTATTCTCTTGAAATGGAAGACATATAAGTAATTTGTTCACTTTCCTCGTCTCTAACAGTCACACTAACAATCATTTTACTTCTTTGATGTGATCTAAAGGGTCAACTTCCTGCTCCTTGGCAATACATTAAACATCAACTTTCTGGGACAAACGAATTCAGTAATTATTATCACCACCAGCCCACTGGAACGAAGATGGAGAAGAATATCAGCAGAGAGGGAGGCGTCATTAGGGTAAGGATTAAAGCAATTTGGCATTGTGATATCATTTTTATGATAGAAACCTCAAAACAGATATTTATTTATTCAAACATAAAGCTAACAAGGTTTAGGGGGGACTAAAGATAACAAAACTGTATGAAGTTGGTTTTACACTTGCTCATTCTGCAATTTCTGCATATTCTTCCAAGAGCCTCTCAATTGTCTTTCGAGATGTAACCTTGGTGATTTCAAAGGCTTTCATCTCACCTTTCAAACCTGCACAAAAGTAGGAAAATGTTTCATCTGCCAATCTTGGACCTCAATTAAATTTCCTATTAACACCATCATTTTGGAACAGAGATAATACTATGTACATGAAAAGAATCAGGTGGATTAATTGTATTCATTACGTCAAAACTAAAAAGAAAATAAACAATCCCGATTAGATGTATTCATTAGTCTACTTCCTTCAATCTTCATCCAAATGCAAAACATTGTTTGATTCTTCAACATTACGCAAACTACACCCTATGGAGTAAACAACAGTACTACACTTATTGCACGAGTTGCACAAATTTAGTACTACTTCTGCCCACCCCCTCCCCCAAAAAAAAATTCACATTAAATTTTGAAATTTGTACTGTTTTTAGTACAATTTGGAATGTGAATTTTTTTTTTTTTTTGCGATAGAGGAAGTATTTTTTTATGTCTTTCGAAACTTATTATGTTGAACCATTTGGACTATTTTTGGGTACGGTATGGTTACTAAGTTATGGTTTCCAGGGATAACATAAATCTGATTGATGAAACTGGAAGTCCCCAAGAATAAACTAAAATTAAAGAGCAGACTCACCTGGGTGATGCAAAACTTTAAGAGGCAGGTCAGTTGCGCTTGATTTGATAAACAGAATCAACTTTCTGAGTTCACTTGATTCCGCAGAGAACAGAATTTCCCTCTGAATGGCATGAAAATGAAATAAGCCTATCGAGAAAAATACGAGATGAAGAGAGAAAAGTGGCACAAAGTGTGAACAAATGAACACCATCCGAAAAGTACATGGCAGGTCCAAAAGTCTATCATTGAGTTCCTTGACATAAGTTCCTCAATGTTCTTGGACCATTTTCCCTTCAAGTGAAAATTTCGTGGTCATACTGATCATGTAAATTCCGGACAACAGAGTGTTTCTAAAATTCTAGGAATCGCTCTTATTAAAAATCAACAAATTTTACCCTATGCATTTGAATCTTTCATATTCTTAAACCTCAAACATGGCACGATTGCAATTCACACTTGCAGCTTTTCAATCATTGAAGTACTTACAAAGTGCTCCAACCAGAGTGCGCCCCTGGACCCTCTCACAAGACCATTTACAGAGCTAGGTCACTGGATTTCTTATTCAATTCAACTTTCAACTTTACTAGTTCAAATTCATCAAGCAAAGACTACGAAGATTCAGTATCCCTCATCCCTATATTCATTTCCCGAAGATGTTTCTCCTTAGTTGGTAAATAACTATTGCCAAATACCATTGCAGCCAAAACGCAGCCTCCTAGACACTCTTCCCTCAACAGGATACATCCAAGGTTTAGCCATTTGAATTCCAGAGAAACAATCTCTCTTAAACTCTTTAACAATGAAGAACCCAAGACTATTAGCTGAAACCATCCAAAGAAAGGTGAGAAACCAGGGTTTTTAATTATGGGCCTAAAATGAATAATGGGCAAAACAAGCCTCCGCAAGAAAAAAGAAAATCTTGATAATGTATATAATCTAACAGTGACTGAATGATATGAACCAAATAAGCTTTAGATTAACTAATTTTTCACTCCCAGTAAAAGGAAGTAACAGAAGATACAGAAAAAATGAGAGCAAGTCCAGAATTACTCCAACCTTAAAATTCTTTTCAGTATCAAAATATCCTGAAACAATTGCAAGCACCGAGAGCTTCTCCATGCCTGCACTTAATGAAGTGGGATGAATCAACAACCAGAGATTTCGTAAAAGTTGTTGAACACCTAAACATCTCAAGTTCTCTAGATTTATTCAGAAACACATTCAACAAAAGAAGATGTTCAAAAAATGGCAAAATATTTCGCGAACAAGTAAGATTAAGACTATATATGCTAATTGACTCTCTCTCTTACATGCATGTTTATCATTTTTGTACAAACCATCTAAACAATGAGCTGCAGAAAAACGACAGGATGATTCAAGGAAATGAATAGAAAGGAGTAATGATGGGCTAGTGGGAAAGATCATTCAATATAAATGCCACAATACCTAACTGAATGCTTAATCCAAGAAAGAGGTATGCACAACCTGATCTGTAAGTTTCAGTTCAGAAAGTAAGTAACGAAGAATTGCAGCAGCAGAAATACTAAGTGATATGGTTGATAAATAAGCACAAGAAAGATGAAGGAATATGTCAAAAGAAAGAGGAACAGAAAAATGAGCTGATAAGATGGATAGAAACATCACGACAGAAAAAATGCTACATATTCAAATAGGAAACGGCATCTGGCAATATCTTACGTTGGAAATGTGTTATCTCAGTACTTGAAGTTGAATCAAGTGAGAGTAGATGTACGATTGGTAGTCCAATGGAACTCATTCCAAAGTTTGAAACCGTTATCCGAGAATTGCCACCATCTATCTTACCTGCGTGAAGCGAACTTTAAGGATTATGGGGTTATGACACCAGGGCCGTAAACAGGGGAGGCTATGAACCTATAGCCATAAGATCATGACAACCAATGCTAATATATCACTGCATATATCAGATAGATATACCTCATTTAATATTTAGATCACAGCTAAACCTGTACATGACTCATGGAGTCAGCTATATGGATGATATACAGCTATCTTACTCTATCAACATATCTATTTTCATTCAAGTTTGAACCAATTATGCCTGTTCATAATTTCCTTTAAATAATCGTTAGATCTTTCGCTTCTATTTTGAATTTAGTTTAATGATTCTGTGTTTATACTTATGTTACTGCAACCTGCCTCCTTAGTATGTCTAAACCACCTTAAGCAGGGTTCTACCATCTCATCATTTGTTAATACTATCTCCTCTTTCTTTCTAAGACGTCCGTGATCAATTCATTGAGGCTGCACCATCTTAACATGATCATATCAGCAACAATCAATTTTTATTTGCTTTTTATCTACGGGCCCAATACTTCTAGCGTATTGATCTTACAAACTCAGCTGTATCTTATGTTATGAGCGCGAAGTATGGAGAACATACTCTCCTTTTTTTCCAACTTGACTAAATTCTTGGATACTAAATCCTACAAAATTTTATGTTTTATATGCAACTAGCTCCAGTCAGCCCATTTTATCATTTACCCAATTGTGACTGCTACGATAACTGAAATGAGTAACCATATCATTAATTATAACTCTACTCATGCTACAACATTTCAACTAAAGCTTCAAGTTTGACATTTGTCCCTTATGTCCTCTAATCCAGTAAACCTATTGGTCTGCAAATAACATATTCAGGGAAAACTTTCTGCCTATACACAGAAGTCTCATTCAATAATCAAGGGAAAAAAGCCGTGACTCAAAGCCATTCCCTAATGCAGATATAGAGTATTCAGGAATTCACGCAATATTTCTCTTGGCGTCCTTAAACTTCCACACCTATTCCAATTTCCGCCATAATGTTTCATTGATCTTTCCAAAAATTACTTTAACGACTTCTAATCCTAAATGGGGTACTTACAACCAATATTTTCTATAGGTTCACTTCCTATAATGATTTTAAACAGTATAGTTTTATCCTCGTCTATAATAACTTGTACCACTTGATATATGAATGACACATGATGCTTATCAATACCCAACACAAAGTTAAAACTTTTTTTGTATGGTCGACTTCCTCTCTTATTACCCATTTTGTTTCTTGATGACACACGATGCTTATCAATACCCAACAGAAAGAAAAAAAATATGTGGATCCCCATCATACTAACTAGTAATCTGACGCTTTTCCTGTTCTTCTAATAATTTAAAGAACCAATTCTACAAGCCTAAATTACTTCTTCTAATCTGCCCGTGCCACCCCCAAACACCACCACCACCACCATAGAGAGCAAATTCATATGAGGAGAAGGTTGAAGATTCTACGATTGAGCAATAGTAATTAAAGCAACCATTACAATTATTTAAAAAACATTCATTCCAGGTGTAAAGATCGATTTGTTAAAAGAAAGCAATAGATACACATCCTCTTTCAAAATAAAGGAGGGATAGTGAATAAGCATAAATTGCAGAGAATATTTAATATGTTTAGAACTGAACGAGTTAAAGGGAAAAACTGACCTACTCTTGTCAATTTTTTAAAATCTTTCTGAAGAATATCCCCCACTTTGAGGTCACACTTGTCATACATCATATATCTCACTGAAGAATGAAAAATCCATTAGTAATTCAGTGTTTCTTATACACTACATGAAATACAAACCATTAGGAAAGACAAGCTAAAAGGTTCTAGAGCATACATAGCTGGTAAAGACCATTGCAACCATAACGGCCAGCGCCATTAATCAACAAGGTCGCCATGTACTTGTCTTTGGACGTAGTCTGAGAATCTCCCAGATTTCCAGTGTCCAATAGAATGCCCGATAGCTGCACATATCATAGGCACCAAAAAAACAATAAGCCAAATCAGCACTTGTACCTCCATAGGACCAGGTACAAAAGTCAACAATGGTATGGCCATTTGGATAAGATCAGAAAATGGCTGGACTTAATGTACACGAGTACCAGTTTCAGCATCTGAAGGTTCTGGTAGGCATGAAAAAAAGCAATTTTTAGACTTGCGAATAAATAAATAAGTGAACTTATGAAAACCGTTGTTAATGGACAAAGGTCTCCTTTTTTAGGATGGCTGGAGAAAAAGGAAGGACACCCAAAATTCCAGAGTAGCAGTTACAACATTTTAGTGGAAAACATTCCAGAACTATGAATCAGATGAAGTTGTGGGGAGAACTGGATTTGACTGTATGGGAAAAAAGACATGAATTGCACGTTCTACAATGATGGAAAGAAATCCAGAAAACGAAGAATGTTTGCACCAAAAAAAAAAAAAGGGAAGAAGAAAAAAACAACGTTGGCAAAGAGAAACAATCTCCACAAAGTTCCACTAGTTTTCTCTATAAGAAAAGCACGAGTGAGCTGCTACCAGAAGCCGAGAAAATCCTTGCCCCGACAATATCTCTGGTGCAGTGAGTAGAAACTTTTCCGCGATGACCGTACAACAGGATGCTTCCTGCGATAGAAGAGGATAATTAATTAAGCATATGGCTGGAGATATTAAAGTGGAAAAAATATAGACATTTCGAAGGAAAAAGAATGCGAAGTCAAAGCAGCAAAACATCAAAATTTTCTTCCAGAGGGCCCTTAAGTTAGGTCATTCTCTGTGGAAGATTTCAGGAATCCCAGTACTACAGAGGAACCCTGTTTTCCCATTATACAAAAGAGCTCAACACTTAATAGAGGCAGCAGACGATTACTGAACATACAAGAACTAGTCTCATGCCTATTCATAATACTCTCTTCCCAACTGAGTTTCTATGCACGTTAGTGCTTGCTTCAAAAAAAAGCTGAAATACATGATTAATGGTAATACTGATAGTTTTAAATGCTATTATTATGCAGGTATTGACAAATTCATATGTGATATTTTTCAGGTATGGCAAATTCATATGTGAGATTACGAGAATGATTTCTCCAAGTCATCATCAGTCAGCTATCTAAAATTTAATTAAAAACGGTGAGACAATTTCAAATACTTTTCAATTGACAGAGAAAGAGATGGGAAAATCTCAATGATACTGAAACAGCAAGATGTATTCGGTCTGGAGACAACTTTTAACCTTTGTGACAATTTGTTTATTTAGACACAAGTCTGAATGATCAACTTCCCAAAACTTTAATGCATACTGTGGAACTGGTAGGTAATTCATAGTGACATTCCTACTGTCAGACAACTACTACTTGATCAAACTAACAAAAGTCAAACTTTAAAAGCAATTATGCTGAAGCCATATCTGAAAACTTGTTTTGGGACCTGTCACGCAAGGATGCAATACAGGTTTCATACATTCATGAACTCTATGGACTCTTTAAGTGATGGGGACAAGGAATGGTAGAAGAACCCTATCAGTAGGTTCTTCCATATTTATGCCCAGGATTATCATGATCCAAGGAAGGAGCCAAAGAGTTAGGACTTTGGTTTAGTTAATCCTTTATTAAGCAGTAAGTTAATTAGTTTATTTCAGTATTAATATTTAGGAAAGGGTATTTTAGTATATTAGTTATGCTGCAGGATTTTCTTGGAATAAAAAAGAAATTAGGTGAGAATGTTAGTTGTCTTTGGTTTAGGTTAAGCTTTAGGCCTATATATATGTACCTCGTTTGAGGGTTTTGGACGGTTATCAGATCAATAAAATTCTTGCAAACTTTTGCTTCCAACAATAGTTGTGTGACTCAACTAAAACCTTGGTGTAACGCCTAGAAATCCTGCAGTGTGACGCCAAAGGGCCCTAAGAGTGATTCTTTGGTTTTCTTCTTCATCCTGCTGATTATCCCTGTTTTCCTGTGAATTTTACCCTTATTTCCTACAATTTTCTATTGATTTTCCGCTGCATACTACTCTTTAATCAGCCTAAGTTCTGATTTTCTCAACCACCACGTTTGTGCTGCGTCATTAAGTTATTCAAGTAAGAGCTGCCAATAAGTTGACCATTAGGAACATAATGGGAACATGAACGTAATGGGAGCATTTAGGGGAAAAAAATATAAACATTTCTATCATATCACATCCGGAGAACTTCAAACTTCTAACAAGATATAAAATGAAAGTGGAATCATAAAAAAAAATGCCTGTCAATTTCTTCTCCCCCAAGTACGGTGAAACAAAGGGGACAAAAAGTACGCCTACTGTTGGAAGATTACCTCAGCCATAGTGATATTTTCAACCCAAGGGTAAGTATTGGTGTTCCCGTGCTGTAACCAAGATGAGAGAATGTAGTAAATTATTTTCGCATACAATATGGAAGCGACAAATAAAGAAAATTGGCAAGTGTAACAGTCTATCTTACCTGCCCACAACTGAAGATCTCAACCAAGGATTCTTTTAATGCCTGCACTGTAACAGAATTACTTGTAATTCAATAATTTACTAATAAAACAACAAGGGCAGCAGCTAGGAAATTTACCTCCTGTTTTGCTGAAAGCTGGTTGCAGTTCGACAAAACTAGCTTAAGACTTCCAAATATTTCATAATATGACAAGTCAATCTGTTCATTCCAAAGTAAAAATGAATTCAATCAGAATGAACTGGTTCTAAGAGAAACTGAATAGGAGATGCATTAAAAAAAAAACAAAAAAAAAAACACCACCAGACATGAAAGGGTTGAGAAAGGTTTAGATTTAGAACTTTAAACTTTTAACATGTCCAAAATTGAGCAGCAGTTAGACGTGTGATATGTTACCAACTGAAGTAAAACCAGTAGAACCAACAGATCTTATAAGCACAAGCAGGATACAATTTCGTATTTTGATGTAATACCTTTTTTTTTCTAAATATTAAATAACATGTTTTGTTTAAACCTAATATAGTTGGAAGCAAACAAACCTCATCAAGAAACACCAAGGATGAATGATCAATAAGGCATGAATCGAACAGCCACTTGAGCTCAGCACGCGAATTAATGTCTGATCTATTCATATTGATAACAGGCACAGTACAGAACTGAGTGTTCTTACCCCATTCACTCAGGTAAAAGGCATACATGATGGTTGAAGCAACAGATCCTACATCTGCAGTTAATTTGCGTAATTAGAGACTTACAATATCTGTGAGGAAGGTAATCAACCAACTTTATTCTAGACAAAAAAATTCTGCAAAATTTATACATTCTAAATCTAGTGCCATCACTTTGTACTTCCAGTTAGTAATCTATGAGAAAACAAGGCCTTATCATGCAATAACATACTTCATATAGAACATCAGGACAGACCATTGACTATCAGACAAATGTCTTCAGAGAAAATGAATCGACCAGAAAAAAGTAAAAGTTCATGGGCTTAAGACTGTTTCAACTTGATTATAACATAAAAAGCATAAAATCATATAACTTCCACATTTTGATGGTTGGAAACCCCTTGAGGTATGAGAGAGAAAAGGCACTGGCTTAAATTTCAGTCACACACTGGAGCTCTCGTTTAGAATTGTGTTAAGAAAATGATCTACCTCCCTTCCCGATACTGTTTCAGCAGAGAGCTCAAAGATCCAAAACATTATGAACAACTAAAAATATTGGCCCTGTTAAACTGTAAAATAACTTTCATTGCCGGGAAACAAAATTTCAGGGTAAGCATTGAGAAACATGATAAAATTTCAAATGTTTCTGCAGATAATTTGTCAAGCAAGCTCAAGATATCGCACATAGCATAAGATTAAATCATTGAGGAAAAATAATATAAGTAAAGCACGGGAAAAAAAGATTTTCTCAATTTATTCTGGGACTAATTATCTAAACTTACCACAGATATCTGGCCCAATCACGGCATGCAAGAACTTCCCTGGCACACCAGCACTAATATCATCTTTTTTATCTTTCAGGTACATATTCAGTCTGTAGATGCTTTCACATGATTCAACAACTTCCATGAGTGGGGAATGCCCATTATAAAATGTCGCTGCTGATGGAGGAAGCAAAACGTTTGAGAGATTAGTTCTTCCTTCATTTATGCTGTATGATTTCTCAAGTGCGGGCTTTGTAAAACAAATTAGCGTGTTGCGCTCCTCATTTTCTCTACATGGAGAGGATTCTTTATGAGAGTGATTGAGATCCTTCACCTCAAACTTGAGTGCTGATTGGGTATCTGACAAAGGGGATAGAGAAGTTTCTGGAATCTTCGACCATCTTGCAGAAGGTGCATTGCCATAAGAAGTGTCTGCAACAGTAGCTGCTGATGTCTCTGGTGGTAGATTGTATAAAGGATTTTCAAGTAATTGGCCAATAATCTTTCTGGATCGCCTGGAGCTAATATCTGAGGCTGTTCGTCCAATTCCACCTTGAAGCTTCACATTTGAAGTAACATTCCTACCTTTGATTACTGTTGCTGCCTCTCCCCTTCTCATTCCTTCAAAATAAGGATCATCGCGAGCACGGACATATGTTTCCTGAAATGAAAAATGGGGATGTATAAGTAGGCAGCAGTCTCAAACAGAAGTGCACGGAAATATTTTTTCATAACCAAGTGTAGCTCTAGTTGATTACATTCCGACCCAAAAATACTACATCATAAGTAGAGCCTGCTGAATTCAGTGAGTTCCAGCCTATATGAGTTCCAGAATTATATCTTTACAATATATAGCTTCAGAAATTTGGCTTATTGGTCTACCTTGTGCACTTGAGATCTTCAGTACAAGCCTTTGCCTGAGAAGAATTCTCGTGCTCACTAAAAACAATTTCTAATGTTTACATCATATCTCAAAATATTTCAATATCAGTGGATTATGCTCGATTTGAATTCCTTGAAACTCAGTCATCATAGATTAAAGCTTTAAACATAAAACAAAAAATAAAAAATAAAAAAAAGATCGAAAGTCTACTGAAATCAAGCCATCCATTTTCATTTCAGCACATCTGTTTCTCTCAATTACACTGACTAAATTCATAAACAGAGCCTCCTTACCTTGAAAACTCTACCGGAGGCGGACAACAAATTTTACATCAACAGAATTTTGAAAAATTAAAAGTAATAATAACAGCCTATATGAGCATTCAGTGAGTTCAAAGTTCAAAAGTAAGGATCTCGAATAATTTCACAGAATTCCAGAATTCAATCAGGAAATAATGTAAAACGTTGATGAATTCCGTGATGCCAACCAACCTGTTGATTTGCCGCCATTGAATTGGGAGAATTCCTCAACTTTGGTGAAAGATTTGCCAAAAATTAACCCAGTGAAATAATCCACCAAATATATATTCCGCTGCAAAGAGATAGAGACAGACAAAGAGACAACCAAATAGACGGTTGAACGAGAGAAAGACAAAAATCCCGGTTGTCGAGAAGTCCGCCATGGCTTTTAGCTATTTTGAAGTTCGCTGCTTCCTCTTCGGAGATATCAACAGAGATGTTTCCAAATGAAATCAATCCACATTTCCCCGCGGCAAAAACTGTTTTATTTTTTATTTATTTATTTTTTTTTGGCTCTTTGGGTGCGCGCGAAAATGCTTCTCAGTCCTCAACCTTTCACACCTAATCAAATGTAGTACATTAGTTTTTCAAAAATTTAAATAGTGTTATCAGCTATTTAAATAGAGCATGTTCGTACTTTTTAAAAAAATAAATAATTTTTAATGTTTTAAGTGCCAAATTTCACTGTAAAACAATAATAAATGTTAGAAACTGGGAAACATTGCTTGTCTCAGTGGTTGGAGAAAAGTAACTCAATCTGAAACTCCAAGGTTTGAGCCCTACCGAAAGCACTTGAAGCGTTGCCTATGCAGGTTTACAGACTCAAGGCCATAAGCAGGAAGTAGTCCCAACTCCCAACCCAAGAGGGTAAGTAACATAGGCATACACGCATAGAGTCTCTCTCTTCCCAGTAAACCCGTCAAAAATATAATAAACTATGATACTTATAATGGCCTTTTAAGAAAAAGAAATGTTTGAAACTGAATCTCCTAACTAGTTGAAATCCAAAACAACATCTCACTCCCACATTTTGTGCAGTGAAGATTATTATGGGACCATTTTTCAAAACGAAGTTTATTTAAAGGGACTATTTCTTAAACTGGAATTTGTTTAATCTTTTTATCAAGACATCAAAACTAAATTTAATATTTTAATTTCACAATCCATTGAAAACGCCATATGAATGTATTATTTTGGTGCAATAAATGCTGTTACACTAAATTTAGCATAAACAGTCAATTGCCTTTGAATACTAATTTTTTTTATTATCATCAAATTAGATTCTAATTTTGGTTGGACCTGTGAAATACACGTGATATCTTTCTTTCAGGTGCAGTCTTTCCCCGCTACAATTTCAATTGGTATCTTCCCATCGTACTCCTTCGCATCGAACGTGTCAACATCGGATGTCACCAATTCCTACGTTTCATCTTCCATATATAATTTCCTATATTCACATCCCGCCGATTTCTTCCACAACAACGTTACGGCGTACCAGTTTTAATTTGCAACCAATTTTTGGCCCACAATATTTTTAATTTGCTCCCCATGTTTCAGTATATATGATTGTATTTTGCCTTCATTTTTGGATTGTTTGTTTCTGGTTTGGTATGCATCCCGGTTCACGTGTGTTATACCCCTCTCAAATTTATTTGTGAAATTTTTTGATTTGCAGTTTCAAATTCGATTTCATATGCTAACTATAGTAGAACTTCTATAAATTAATAGTGTTGAGACCACCAAAATTTATTAATTTAGAAAATTATTTAATAATCGATAAATTAATAAATTATTAATTTAAAGAATTTATATGAGAAAAAAAGAACCCTCACTAAATTATTTAATTTGCAATTGTCTTCACATACAAATCAATAAAGTATTAAAATTTTTATGAATACTAAAAATTCATACATAGTTCAAATCATCTTTAGGAACTAAAAGACAAGCATCAATAGTTCACATCCTATTAAATATTTATAGTTATTATAATTATTTTCTTACATTTATGATGTTATTAATTTATAATATTGTTGGGACCTATAGAAATATAAAAAATTTTCTGAAACATTATAATCTTATCATATTAACGATTTTTTTCACTTTTTGTATTGGTCCCAAGTTGGGACTGGAAAAAATTGTTAATAGCTAGAAGTTATTAATTTATAGATTATTAATTTACCGACGTTCTACTGTAGTTTGGAAAAAACAAAAAAAACTTCTCTTCTATTCATCAGTTTTCATGGAATCCATGTACTTATAAATCGAACTGAGAAAAAATGATTAAATTCAAACCCATACAATGATGAATAGTACATTGTTGTTATATTAAGATAAGAGGGACACGGCGCCGCAATGAAAAAAGTTCTTCAGTGGAGTTTGTTGAGGGCAACGACGAGGAGGAAGATGGAATGAATCAAGTTTTCCACATGTCAATAGATATCTTCTTCAAAACCCTGAGAAATCTTGATCGGCCTCTTCTTCGGAACATTTCCAATGAGAGGTCAACCTCTGTCTCTCATCTTCCTTTCTTGTTTTGTTTTCTTTGCCAATGTGTTGAGTGTTTTGTTTGCATTAAATGAATATACAAGTAAACTTTTCCGTTGAATTTTTCTGGTTAGCTACTCTGCTTGGTTTGCTTTTCTCCCTCTCTTCTCTGGTGTTTTTTCTCTCTTGCCATGGATTAGATCCCAATATTTTGAAAATCTATAAATTTAAATACTTGTGGTGTGATTGCCTACGTGGTTTATTTGTGAGTTTTGTCGAATGGTATTTGGGAGGTAGGTAGCCTTTTAGGAACCATAAGAGGTTTTATCTTGAATTCTAGTATGGATGACCAAAACTTCACCAATAACATTTTTATAGAATAATCGACTTGGAATGATATTGGTTTGAGGGGTGCACATAAGGAAAATCGCTAAGTATGTGTAATATCCAAGTATCTAAGATGTCGGTAGGATTTTTAGGAACCATAGAAGTTTTTATCTTGATCTCTAGCGGGTATGGATGACAAAAAATTTATTAGTAACACTCTCATGGACCAATCGACTTGGAATGACGTTGGTTTTTGGGGTGTACATGAGGGAAATTGCTTAACGTGTCTAATATCGAAGTATTGATCTAAGAATGAGGATAATTTTGACCACGGTTCTAAAACATTCTTGCTACAATAAATACACCTAACACAATAGTTCACACAATTAGAATGACAGAGAAACCTAAAAGCTGATACAAGTCTTAAACCATTTACTTTACTATTAGTTTATTTAGTGGTTTTCCCATCGTTGTAATTAATTAAATCAACCCTTTGTGTTGTTACAAATACACTTGTTACGCCGAATTGCAAGCTAGATAATCTACAATTGTACTCTTACCACTTGACCTCCCCGTGATCGACCCGTAATTGTCACAGATAATTTAAACACTACATGCATTTTTCAGTGGAGAGAGAGAGAGAGAGAGAGAGAGAGAGAGAGAGAGAGAGAGAGAGAGAGAGAGAGAGAGAGAGAGAGAGACTATTAGTGACCAAGAAACATTTGTTCTCTCATAATATTTGCTTACCTAAACCTACAACATTTGCTCTCTCACTGTGGGACAGCTATCAGTGACCAAGAAACATGCAGATGTAAATAAATCTTGGGTGAGATAACGAAAGTTCTGAAGATATTATGAATGGTTTATATAAGAATTATGAGTCATTGGTTGTGCCACATCTTAGAGCCTTTACTAGGAAATTCTGATTGAAAAAATTGTTTACATATGATAAATATACATTGATCAGCTAGCTTAAAGTAATGTAACTAGACTCTTTTAAGTAGAATTTAGGCATTTTAATGATAAGAGATAATGAATTTCACTGCTAATCTCATTTGATCTTATCCCTTATTGAGTTATATATCTTTCTTATTGATCAAACTATTAATAGCCTAAAAAATGACACAAAAGTTTTAATTTGTGATTATAAGAGTTCTGTTTGATTAATCTTCTAATGAATTGGATTAGTTTTTTATACCTACATGTTTAATTGGATATATTAATGAATCCAACACTCTCTGTTTGCTCTACAGTTTAAATATAGTGTCAAAACAAAATAATTTAGAGTTGGCAAATCAATGTCATCGATTTAGGTTTTGGGCCGCGTCATGGATGAGTTGTATTAATTGTCTAGTAACCCAACTCAATCCATCTAAGTGTACCTCACATATGAGTTGGATCAATTTAGTACTATTTGAAATGAGTCATCATTCAATCTGACTTATTTTTATGTGGGTCAAGTTGGGTTAGGTCAACATGGGTAAGTTGAGACAACTCAAATGGGTTGATGAGTCATTTTATTTAACCTGCAACCTTTTTTTTCTTTGAAAATGAGTCATTTGATCTGACCTGTGATTTAACTAATTTCTTTAATTTCTTCGGGTAAGAATCAATTATGCTTATTTTTGTATATTTATAAACTTGTAAACCACATACATCATTTTTTTTTCTTCCATTAAAAAGTGATCTTAATTTCTAGTTTTTAGAATTGATTTCAAAATTCACTTCAATTGTTTAGAGAAACCACGTGCAATCTTTCAGGTGCTATAGTAGTTTTTTTAATGCACAATTTAACCTTTTTTCCCAAGCCATACTTGTTTTATATCATGAAGCAAAGCATTTTGGGACACGTCGGAAGAGAGGTGTTTTCTATATATTATCCAAATCACAAAACAACATGACAAATCTCTCTAAACCTAACCCAAATCAACCATGTATAGTGGTACCCAAGACATTTTAGGGCACGTAGGAATAGAGGTATTTTCCGTATGTTATCCAAATTACAAAACAACATGACAAACCTCTCTAAAACTAACCCGAATCCACCATGTAATGATGTCTCGTATCAAAATGCATTGAGATAATATTTTAATGGAGCGAACGATTGAACTTGCAGTCCTTGTTGACTCCAACACAAGTCGGGGATATCAATCTGCTTTACTCCAGAGATTATTTTGTTCCTCGAAGGTAAACATCAAAAGAATTGCTGTAATTTTCATTTCAGAGCAAAACACAGTAAAAAAGGGTATGCAGCCAAAAGAAAATGATGGAATGTATTAAACTTCATCTCATATTTCACATTCACTTTTATATTTCTCATTTACGAACTCTCCTAACTTTCTCTCATTTTTAGTATTGAGATCATGAAGGGGTTCAACTTCAAATCTAGCATCCTTGGG